TTTGTTAAACGATGTGCTCCGTTTGGAAGGCGGTGACCACGTATCGATTCTTGTAAGGCCTCATGGTGTTGATTTTGTGATGGTTAAGAGGATAGGGGTTCATCTAGAATGGACAAACTTGTGAATGGGAAATATCCATTCGGAACTTGATTTGTATGAATTGGAAGATGAGCCTTTCGCCCTTGTATCCATTCGGAACTTGTTTCGAAAATTAATTCTTCTTTTGTTATCATCAAGAATACTTCACATTTCTTTTTGTTTGTCAAGTCTGATCTGGTGCTTCTTTTTGTTTGTTTGTTTTTTTCTATTAATTGCTAATAAGGAAGGATGCTTAAGTCCTAAGTGAAACAGGTGTTGTGGTTTCTTTCCAATGGTTATTCCAATTGGGGCCATGGTTTTTTTTCTGCTCCTAATTGATATTTGATGTTAGTTTCATGGTGCGATATCTGCTCTATGATTCTAATGGTTTTATAAAGTTTTAAAGGACACTTTTCTTTTTCCTTCAAAAAAGAACTTAATTTTATGAAGTTTTTCCATATACACTTTTTTTCTTCTTATGAAGAAAGAGATTTTAGTATGAGATATTTAGTCATATACTCATTCTTAGCACTAATAATATAGATAAACTCTACATCATTGAATTTCTATAAACAAACCTTAAAAAAAACCCAAAAAATGACAGCTGACTCTATTAAATTTAAGTTTGATTATTAAATTACTTTGATACCCTATTGAGTATTTTGGGTTTTTTATGAGGTTTTGGGATTGGGCTTGTTTTAAGAAATTGATGGTAGTTTTGTAATTTATAAGAAGTTAAATGCCTCTTTGTTATGTTATACATAGGCTTTGTATGTGTGTCTAAAGTCCATTTCATATAGGACATTTTTATAATTTGGGCCACTATATTGGGTATAATAGTGAATCTCCCTTTTATTTTGTTTAGTTAAATCTGTCTCATATGTACCTGTTTTTGGAGTAACTTTTGCATGTTGCAGGTACACCACGTCGCTAATGTACTTTCCGATGCACATAGAACATATGGTAATATTGTCCAATACACATAGGATATAAAAATAAAATATTTTCACATGTCCTATGTGTATTGGATGATACACCAGCCACGTTGTGTATCCGAAAAATACAAAAATTTCTTATTTGGGCTTCTACCTTCTTGTTCCTTCCTTTCCTGGTTTTTATGAAGTATGATTTTGGTAAAATAAATAAATAAATGAATTTTATTATTAAAAGACCAATATCAATTCTACCTCGTGTGAAGACTCTGCCTAATTGATATTTGAAGAAGAAAAAACAAAATTTCATATTTTGTGGTTGTATTGACAGATGGGTTATTTTGAGAATGAAAGTTTGTGTAATTTGTTTGATTACCTTATGGCAGTAACAAAAAAAAAAGTGCATGTTTTGTGATTAAATTGATTTGCTCAACACATTTATGTTCAAGTAAGGAAGCTAATAATGGGGCGTTACTTTGCATGGAACCGATTCAGAATCAAATTCTTCTGCATCGATTGATAGAAATTGGCTAGTTGCTCATTGATAGCATTTCGACCACTAACCCAATGGGCTAGTTGCTCATTGATAGAAATTGGCTTAGTAAAATCATGATTAATTGTACTTTTCATTTTTATCAGAATGCCTTTTTTGAAGGACCCCTCAAGCTTACTGTAGCTAGAATGCTAATGGCAAGATTGTGTTTGTTTACGCAGTTATGATGTCTTATTTGTACTTTTCATTTTTATCAGAATGCCTTTTGATCTTATTCTATTGAACAAAAAGAACACTCATTATTGTTTCTATGAAAAGGAAATAAATTTGTTTTGCTGTTATTCTCTAATTTCATAGTTTAGTTTTGTATGATGACTTTGCTAGTTTTAGTATTGTAATAATACTTTTGCTAGTTTTTGTCTAACATCAGCCGGCTGCTCAAAAAATACACTACAAATAACAATGAATATGCATGCATCTAGTATGGTGTCGGCATGATACAATACTAAAAGCGGAACAAACTGCCATATGCAATCGAAGTTTAGAAAAATGAAAGAAAAAGCAAGGGGAAATTGACAGACTACGAATTGAATTAAGTATTCATTACTAAGAGAAAATGAACCTATTTGGGAACATCAGGTATTCATTTTACTAATGTAGACTTGTGGACTTGTTCACACGGCGATGCAGAATATGCATACCTAGGCATTTTCCCAGAGTATTAGTCAATGGTGAACCACATATAGCACTTATTTCCTTGGCAAGCTCCTTGCAAGTGTTGGGTGAGCAATGGACAACAAACTTAGAAAAATTGACAATCTGACCCGAAATCTTGCAAAACAAATCCCCAAAAGAAGTTATCTACCTAAAGAAGTAATTAGGTCCATGACACTTTTCCTTATAATCTCATACTCTGAAGAGTTCCTGGTCATAGGATTGTCAACTGGACATTGACAATCCACAAAGACCAATATACACTGTATCTGCTCAATTGGGAGAATGACTGGTCTTAAGTCATTTGTGTAAAGACACTAAGATAAGTGTGTGAGTGTTCGCTAGATAATGAATTCACTGAACACGATCAACTGAATATCTTGTATGGAAGTTTTACCTACATGTGAAACAAGATCTCTATAGTTACAATAATGTAAATTAGTCCTTGACTTGAGTCACCACAGTTGTCTTGTGGAAGCATCGTGGACCTTTGATCATACTAAAGTGTTATGCTTCTTAGGGGTATGACCATACGGAATAGTCGAGGCTCATAGTCAATCCATGGAGGCAGGTGAGTGTACAAGAAAGGATCTTTACCCTCAGTAAAAATAGAGAATGCTATGATGATATGATTCAGGAGTATTCGGTCGAAGCATTAGTTATGAATGAGAATGGTAATTCCAATATTTTATGAGTCATATAAGATTGGAGTTCACATTAGGGGCTTGACATGTTTTCCGTGCACTAATGATGTAACCACTAACATTGAATTAGAGAATGACTGTATTACATTGTAATTGCAACTGAATAGGTTCTCCACCACATTCTACATTGGTTTGGGTAACCGTAACTTGTTGCTAGATGTCACTCACGATTTATGGAAGCCTTGAGGATATGTCATAACTATGTACTCATAATAAGGAGAATTAAAATTGGGTTTTAATTCACAATCGATTAAGAGTTTAGATCGCCCATTGTCTTACTAATTAGAATATAATGGAAATGTGAGAGATGAAAAATTAATTATGAGATGATTTGAAACTTCCTTCATGGTATTAGAGTGGGTTTGCCCACTTGTGAAAGCCCAACGGCCAATGTACTCCACATTACCCAATATGAGTTGTCCACGTGTTACACTTGAAAATTCAACACATATGCTACGGCGTGTGAGAATGTGAGGTGAAAATGTCCCACATTGGAAAGTTAAAAAACCTAGCAATAGCTTTTAAGGAGTTGAGGTACTCCTCCCATTGGTTTTGGGGTGGAACCTCAACTTCCTTTAGGGTCTTGGGGTTTGACGTGGGTCTAAACTCTAAACCCTAAAGCCAATGTTTCATTGGTGATGTCCACGTGTTACGCTTGAAAATTCATCGCACATGCGAGAAGACGTGTGAAAATATAACATCTCTAATTATTTTCTCCAAAATCTTTAAATTCATAAGAGGCCATTTCGTATAGAGCCCTCCTTCATAATGCATCGCTTTAAATCCCAAAATGTTGCTGCTTTCTCAAAAGTGAAAAATGTCCATTCTGCCTTTCCTTATCAAAAGTGTAAAACTGTAACACTAAAACTTAGAATAAATAAGTGTCATATACAGATAAAGGGTATATTTAACTAATTTTTAGAGTCATACTTACATATTTGGTATATTATTATTATGGGGCGGATCCGTGGCACCATATTTTTGACACAAGTTTTGACACAATTTTTAGGCCATTAGATTACTCTACTTTTAATGGTTGAGATTAAATCAGACATGACAAATAGGTTTAATGTTTTAAGTAAACAATCATTAATTTTATTTTATCTCTCATAAAAATAAAATAAAATAATTTTATTTCTCCTCCCTTTTTTCTTGGAAACGTAATCTCTTTTCTTGATAGTATCCTTTTGTACTTGGTACTCTAATCTCTCTTCTTTCTCACGCGTCTCTCTCTCTCTCTCTCTCTCTCTCTCTCTCTCTCTCTCTCTCTCTCTCCTGGGACTAAAAAACACCTCCATCTTTTTTCACACATGGAAACTATACTTATATGCACTTGAACCAATTCTAAATCATGAGATATTTCCACGGAAGCACATAAAAAGGAGGGGATAGAGGTAGAGAGAGATTCTATTAAGTCTGATAAATCTTAGTACATACATTATCCAATCAATAGTTAGTCACGAGTTTTGAGAGTGTAATGTGCCAGACTGAAAAACCAGAAAAAGAAGTGTTAGAACTATTTCATGGAAACAAACTAGGATGTCCCTAATTTTTTCGATAGCATTACGATAGTACAGTCTCGTTGCAAACGAATTTGCCTTGGTGTGCCTTATCTAGATACATAGAAAGGCATATTGCTTTCGGGCATGCTCAGGTATCAGTCTGGACAGAAGCCCAAAAGTTGCTCTTCAGCTCTGCACAAGCATCATCATTCCAAACGCAATATCAGCAGCACACATATATATATATATATATATGTACAGGGTTATCAATCACAGAAATGAAGAGCAAACCATGAGGCTTGAAGTTGAATAGAGGTGGCAAAGGGTGCCCATTAGGGAGACGAGCATTAGGATCACAGAGTTGATCAAAAAATGG